GTTGCCTTGCTTACCTAAGCATCAAAATCTCTTTCTTTCCATCACATCACAAACTATGATTTTTTTCAAGGGTCGCTGCTAATGTTAACAAGTTCGTATTGTTACAACACGCTTTGGCTACAACGGCCGTCCTCAGGTAACAGCTGACGTACGGTTGTAATCATTTTCACGAAGATAACGATTATAGCCTATATTGGCAGCACTGATCATTAAATAAGCAAATAACTTCATCACCTGGAGCGGAGTCTGTCGCCAAACTAAATTTATGATAAAACAAACAATTAATATCTAAAGGTCACGTCATTAAAAAACTGAAATACACTGAACACAGACACAAAAATAAATTTCTACAACGTCCATTCCAGAAGTCTCCGGTTGTACTTCATATTTCACACTACATTTGAATTCGCGACAAAATAAAGTACTACACCTAAAGAACGAAATTTTTCGCCTTTTTAATTTGGAATTTTAATCTGATCACTGTTTTAGTACGTTAACAAATCGTTTTTAAAATTAAACAAGTATAAAAGACGACGTTATTTTTAAACAAGGGCAAATTAATTTGCAAAATTTACTTCAAGCCTCGTTTCATTACTTTTAAATTAATTTCCTTCTTACAGAGAAAATATCTTACTACAAAAATTTTTGATTCCCCATTGTAGTCAAACGATTTGTAGCCAACGTAACCAAGCCCCCCAAAGGGGGGTTGGTCAAGTGTTTTAACCCCCCGAATGGGGGGGTTAGTTTATTTTCTTACTCAAGATTTTAAAACGCAACCAACCCCCCCGAATGACCTTAATAGAGGAAAGGAGCGCATTGCTCTAGTTTAATATTAATTATTGACTTCTTAAATTTATGATGGAAAGTCAAAAAATCATAACTTGGAGTAATTCAATTTGTATTTCTTTAACTACAAAGAATGTGTAAATATGAAACGCAGGTGTTCTTATAAAACTCGAACACGTGCAACAATCTCGGCTGGCATGCCATAAGGTTCATTTCTCATTTCTTATGCACGCCTGAATGAACCGTATTGCACTCCATTCCTTTACTCACTGTTGCGTCATAGGTTACGTCTGCTTTGTTGTGTTGGTATAAATAGCTGTCCACAGAAAGCGAACTACGTTTAGAGGTCGCCCAAGGGCAACCGAGGGCGACCGATATTCAGCAGGCCAGCCGAGGCCGTCCCCAAAAGACGGCCAAGTCGGCACAACGAGTGGTTAGACTACTCGGCTACCCTGACTGAGGTTTTCCGTGCTTTTCCTCAGTTGTAAGGCGAA